ACTTGTTCGGCAAATTTTTTGCCATACAGCCATTCATCTGCTTTAGTAGCATCAGCTCTTGGCTTAACCGATTTATTCATTAGTGGGGTAATGAAGGCTCTTCGTGCCTTAGACTGTTGATGAAATACGTCCGTTAATAGTTTTCCCGTATCGCATAAGTATTTCATGAGCGCCTCCTGGTCGATACAGTCTTCCGGTTCTTCCAGAATCATGGACACTGCCGCACCTAGTGCCGAAATCGCCGAGCCAATACAATTTTGTGTCTCCGTAAAGTGTTCGTCTCGTTTTAAGGCGACTTCTGTCATGACTAGACCAATTTCTATGTTTACTTTTGGTGCCTCCGTGTAGAAATCGTCCTTTCTAGGATAGGTTTCGAGGATATTTTTCTTTTTATCCTCCGGATAACCCTCCTGCATCCATCTTTGCCAGAGAATCTTTAGTTCCTCATTTATTTTTATTGGTATTTCTTTTTTGGTGTCAGGATGCTCTCCTAGCATTTCTAACATAACCTCATTGATGGAAGTTTTATTTACGGGTATTTCCCTATCTTCCGTACTACCGATATCGAGTGGTTCCTCAGCCTCTTGTGATTGAATGAGGTTGCCTGTATCAACGTTCTCCTTATCCAGGTTTTTGTCTGGAAGAGAACATTTTTAACTCATGATTACACTTATTGTGTACGTAGTTATTTATTCCTAATTATTTCTTTCTTTGTCATACAGCCTTGTTAGTCGTATGAACTTTATTGTAGGCGTTTTTCGTCTTATAGACCTTGGTCGTATAGACAGATCAATTATCTTCGGTGATACGCTGTACATAAAAGAGCAATGTTAATAAGAACCTCTGTGATTATTGAAAAAGGACAATGTTAATTTTCCAGAGATTTTTCCGTTGCCGAGTATCGAAAGTTCTATTGGGCTGTGATACGGAGGTGAAGGAATGGGCCGATCCGAAAATTGTCGGTTTCTTGCTGTTCAAAGGATAGGTTCGAAGACCACTTGAAACGTAAAAACAACATACCCAGGCGAAGGCCCGAAATGCTATGTCAAGTGGAAACATGACACTTGAGGCTCGAGATAATATGATCTGGAATCGGATATATCAGTGAGATAATACTAATGCAATGACTGAACTTTGTTATTTTTCATTTTTTTCTTATAAAACTTTTACCAAGATATTTGTGACGTTTTTCTGATTAAAATGATACCAAACACGATATGGTTAGGACAATTACAATAAAGAAACAGCATGCAGGAAATCGAAACTTCTCGCCTATAGGAGTTTCTTTCAAGAAACGAAGAAATATTGCCCGAGCTGTAGCACGCCGTGGCATGCAACGAGGCAACATCTGCCTATTCGAAAGGGTTCGGAACGGTGATACGATACGGGCGTTTGATAGAGGTGGATACTCGGCTTAATGTCATCTCGCTGCATTACCCGTGTCTACCCCCTTAATCGCTGCTGGCTGCCCTTTATATGTATATCCGCTCGCGGCTTGTTTACTTGCGCGAGCGACTCGGGGTCCGGCGCCGCGTGACGTAGGTGACTTTCGTCACAAGGTCACTATTGAAGAATGCTGTTTATAATAGTAGGCGAATTACATTATACCAAACATTCTTGGACAGTAGCGCACCGTAGCACGCCTTGCTGTTGAAAAATATATGCCTACTCTGAAGAACCGAAGGAACGTGCAATCTGAGAATTTTTTAGAAAAAAATGTTTTTTAATTCATAAAAGCATACAGCGTGCGTCACGCAATTGGGACGGGTTATATCTTGAATTTGGTAAGAGATAGGAAAAAGCTGTTCATGTAAAAGTTCAATAGTATGATAATGTTTATTTTTCTATAACTTCATTTTCTTCGTGAATGCAACGATGCACTAAAAAAATGTAGATGCACTTTTTATTTAAATAGAATTGCATTTTTTTCTTTACTCGTATCAACTCCTTGAAACATTCTGCATAAAAAAATACTGTTAGAACTAATAAATGGAGAAGCCTCGGCTCTTTCTTTCCTCTCCCCTCGCTACTATTCCCTCTCACTATTATAACTCGTCCCAATTGCGTGACGCTTGTATTTTGAGAAACCTATAGTAACTTTGTTTTTACGAAACTAATAAAAAATACAAAAGAGTCAATATTCTGAGTGAATGCAAATAATTTAAATAAATAAATTTCTCGTATACAACTTATATAAACGTTTGCAGAATTATTGCAAAGAGGAGGTATAATCTTCTCTTGTTATACCTTCTCTTTTAGCGAGGTTTGTTATGGGGTGCTGTGAAAAATCCAGGCGGGCGTCAGTCAAAATCTAGCGAAAAGGGAATCTCAACATTCAGAATGAGAGAAGGACAAAATGACTGTAGTGCGTCTCACTCGGCGTTGTTGCCTTTTTTGCTTGCTTTCGCTTGCCTTCAGTCGAGTGACGTAACCAAGCTAACGCCTGATTTTGGCTACGATTCCAAATCGGCAGCCTTCTTAGTTAGACGCCACCTTATAACTACTAGCTGAACTGAATTTGTCACATGAATTGCTCTGTATTATCCACAAAATGGCGGAACTGGTCTGTGAGAATGCTTTTACGGGCATCCGTTATTCGTCCTTATTTCGCAACAAATGAAGACAAAATAGATCTTAATTTACAGATAAGGCTAGACCGCTCAACTCATGATTTCAATCACAGCACTCTTTTAGTGGCCTAAAAATGCTTCGATTCCGCGAATGCATTTTGTCGAATTTTTACCTCTACTTTGGACGCTTATATTACTAAACATCAACATAATCCCACTGAAACATGAGTTGAGCGGTGTGCATTGGACCTTCCTCTTTCGAATAAGCCCTCACCCAGCCCTAAATGTTCTCATACAAGGACGAATAACGGAAGCGCGTAAACCCATCTTTATGCCCATTTTTGCCGGTAATGTCAACGCGCTACTATTACCCGTGTCTACCCCCTTAACCCTCTTTACAATCGTATATTATAATTTTGAATTATTATATAAAACTTTTGTGATACAGTTGAAACTCTGTTGTTTATCATTTTAACCATTGTAGCTTACATGTATTGTAATAAATAAATTATAATAAAGAATATTAAACACTACAAATTAATATTCACATCCACCATTAATATCTGTAAAATTACTATTTTAAAAATTATCGAGTCTTTATTGTTCACTTTAATTTAGAAATATAAACGCCTCTAACGCTATATCATTTTGTTGAAGTAAACGTCAGATTTTAAAAGTTATATATGCATTGGATTGACATAGTGAAGATTGTAAATTAAATTAGTATTTATATTATTTATTTAATATGAAATTAAAAGATTCTATATAGTTTTATTTATTTTTAAAATGTTTGTATTTCCTAGATATAATTTCTCTTGTTTCTTAATTCTTTTGTTTAAAGCTCTTCTTTTTCATTCCGCCTTCTTGCTTCCGAAGTATGTAGACGTATTTTTCTGATTTCTGATTCTAATATATTTATCCATTTGTATCGTGTTTAATATTGTGAAAATAAATAAAATTAACTTCACATTTGTTTTCAGAAATATGAAAAATTTGAGTTCTAGAGAGTTAATTTTTTTCCCTCATTTATTCAATTATATTGAATTTTTTATGCTGATCATTGAGAACCCCTACGACACGCAACGGTATATATCTTCAATAATACTACCTGAATCATAAATTATATAATGTTTTATAAATTTTTGATGGCCTTTAATATTATACTTTCAAAATTCAGGAATTATTTTGATCGGATCGAAATTCCCGAAATTTGAATAACTGTGTTTCGAGATGAATTTTGTTGAACATGACCATGAATGAAAAATGTTCCCAAAAATTACAGCTAATTCACTCTGTGCCGACCAAAACAATTTCCGACCCTATCTGAATATCGAGTACCCGAAATTTTTGGGGCCTCTCACATTTATACCTTCGAGAAATCGACCTGACCCGATCCGAATAATGCAAACCCGATCCAATTCAATATTATCGGGTTCTCACATACCTACTACTATAAAGCAAGAAAATCTCTTGTTAATCAACTTTGAAAATTTTTTTAAATTGCTGTTTTAAAAACAAAAGGGTGTTGAAAATTTTGCTCCCTTGTTTACGATTTTTGGTAATAACTAATCGCACGATGCGATATTAATTCTACCTGAAAGTATACCTGTGATAGTCTTCGCATTTTCATAATGAACATGGTATGTAATAGTAATCTATGAGACATGTCAATGAAGGGTATTGATCTGGAGTAATCCAGGTGCTGTAGCATTCCTAAAAGTATTAAGTGTCTAATGCTGCCTAATTCTGTTATAGTTTCTGTTGACAGGTTAATCCATTGACGACCATAAACGCACCAGCACACTTTTCTTTTTCTTCTTTGCTATTGATCTTGGTCATAGCAACCCATATACTAGGTTTTTAAAAATTTTCCCTTGTTTTCTTAATTCATGTCTGCACTGTTTGTGCCCTTTACCTCATTTAGGTAACATCAGCCATCATACATTATGCATTCGTATACTTTAATCATTAGTTGGTGAATGTGCTAAAGTGCTTAGACATACTGAACTTGTTTTCTCTGAATCTTTATAATATCAAAACAAAAATATAGCATTTTATTTAAAAGACAGGAAATGACCATATAGACCTTAATAAATTGAAGGCAACAAATTTTCTTCACAATAGTATTCAACATGAGAAACGTTAATAAAAATTTCTTTACATTTTTGCCTTATTACTTACCGTTGAGTAGTTACATGAAACAGCAGTTATTGTGGGCCACCCTACATTACGACGTGTGAAGGTGTTTTATTTGGAAGTTTGGATCCCATCATTTTTGTCGACGTAACATTATATACCTTGGGTAAATCCAGGTCACAGTTGACCCAGTTCAAAGATTTTTTTGGGTGGGTCCAGTCCATATTTTGGAGGGATCAAAATGGGCCTATCTAACTACGCTAACATATAAAGGATTATTTAGTTCTACTTTACCGTCTTCCTCGTGGCATCTCGGAACGGTCTCTTTAAAGTGGGTATACTATGAGGCACGATGTTCATTTGAGGAACCGGAAGTGGAAGAGCACCATGTCGACGCAACCTGCAGCTAGAACCTTGACAACCACTCGCAATAGCGTGTCCAATAGTCATAGGTAGATCCCAAATTATCTTTGTCTCGCGAAGCACCTTATCTGCTGGTCCTTGGGCGAAAAATGGCACTAGTTTATTGTCCTGAGAGCAAACTCCTGTCACCACCAAAAGTGTTTCTTCAGATACCTTTAATCATAGTAATGATCATTTGTCACATTGTCGTTTATTTATTGCATATTAAATAAAATACTTTTTAACAAAAAATACAACCGACTTCAAAATGCGTTACAAAGTGTAAAGTAATTTCTATTTCATTTATACCAATACTCCACAGTTATTAATAAAACTTATTTAATCGTTAAATAGTATACTAAATACATTTCAACCTTTCCGGAGGCGGCGCAAAATTAAAAATTTTCCTTTTACTAGGAAAATTCTATCTCAGGCGTCGGCAACCTATGACAAATAACCCATTTCATAATTTCAAGTATACAATATTTAACGGGAATCAACACACCCATTGCGGATTAACTCCATGTATTATACATCAGAAGTGTTGCCAATTTCTGATACAATCATTACAATTACAAATGTTTTCAACCGTATCTATAACGTTCCGTATTTTTTCTTGCAACTTATTAATTAGCACGTTCGCCATACCGCAATATTTTTAATTTTACGCCGCCTCCGAAAAGGTTAAATCAGTTTTATTAATAGCTGTGGAGCATTGGTATAAATGAAATAGAAATTGTTTTACACTTTTTAGCGCATTTTGCACTCGGTTGTATTTTTTGTTAAAAATTATTCAATTTCACACTTTTTAGTGGAACGTGCAGTATTTGCAGGATACCGTAACATGATTTTGCGTTTTTATTGCTTAGCTAATAACCATAAACCAAAAAAATTATATTGACCGAATTTAGATGGTTAAAAAACAAGAAATGCCGTAAATTTTTGCAAGTGGGATCATCGCGGATATATCTCCTACTAAATATGAAAGGTGTCATCGCGATCGGTACATTCCTTGCAGATTAAACGCCGAAAAATATGAATAAAGCATTAAGGTTTGTGCAATAAAAGTCGTTAGGAATGAAAAGGTGCAAAATATTTTTTTTGCGGGACCAATCAGGAGACATACTCTACAAGATGAAAAAGCTTTCGTTCCGGCTGGTTCATCCGTCTCGGAGTAATCGGTGAAAAATATAAATGAAACATTATATGCTAATAAATAAATAAATTATGTTTTTGGCAAAAAAATCGTTAGCAATGAAAAAATGCAAAATGTTTTTTTAACGGGACCAATCGGGACACATACTCTACAAGATACAAAAGGTTCCGTTCCGATTGGTCTATCCGTCTCGGAGTAATCGGCGAACATACATTAAAGAAAAAAAAATATACTGATGGAATTGAGTAACCACCTCCTTTTTCGAAGTCGGTGAAAAATAACATAAATAAATGTATATATATATATATTTTTTTTTTTTTTTTTTTTTTTTTTTAAATTTCGCAATGAGGTCGGGAGGCAGGGAGGGTGTACCCCAACCTCCAGGACTCCCGTAAGTTGTCCCTGCGGGCAAATGCTCGCTTACCAACTGATAAAAATTATCCTGGCATTACCGACATGACTGTAGTAATTGGAAGATTTGAGTGAGGAGCAGGAAAATTTTCAAAAAACCCGCTAACAAAGTAATCATAGTAGGAAAATTTGGGAGATAAGTTGAAAGAGCACTGGGGGCACCAGTGCATATACAGGCAGAAGCCAAAGGATGTAGCTATACTAGATAATAAGGAAAGAGGAAGTGCTCAAGGCGAGCAGGAAGTGAAAAGACAGAATCAAAGGGTGGGAAAAGGATATGTAGAGCGAAAAGGCACGTTTTCTTCTGACGTAATAAATTGTATTAGAGGATTTGGATGCTCATTGGCAGAGTAGTTAGAGCGAAGACGAGCTACGTAGTCCTTAATTAAGGGTACTTTTGCAATTTCATGAAGTGAGGCTGTAGGAAAACGTTGAGGTTTGTTCAGAATAGTTTTCAAAATTTTGTTCTGGACTCTCTGAATAGTAGTTTTGCAATATTTGGGGCAGATTGGCCACCAAATTTGAGAACCGTAGGTCAAAACCGGACGGATGCACATTTTGTAGATGCTGAGGCGAATGGAGACGTGTAGCGGAGAGGTTTTGTTGAGGTGCTTATGGAGCGTGTGGTATACAATTCCACTTCTTGGTGCGGTCCTGGGCGGCGCAGAACCAACGGAAACTATGGTGGAGTACAATGCCCAGATAGCGCGCAGAGGGGGACCAGGGAATAACAATATTGTTGATGGAAATATGGTAGTTAGCCATGATGGGAAAATCCCTCCTGGGTCGGGTGAAAAATACGGCTTCGGACTTGTCCGGATTAATTTTTAGTTTCCAGTCAGCGAAGTACTCAAGAATAGCGTCCAGGTACTGTTGTAATTTAAAAATCAGGTGAGTGAGTCTGACGGAAGAAGTCAAAATAGCCGTATCGTCGGCAAAGAGAGCTAAAATGCAATTGAGGCACTGAAGGATATCATTTATGTAGATACTGAATAAGAGGGGAGCCAAGATGGAGCCCTGTGGCACTCCAGCACAAATTTTGAGGAAAGAGGATTGAAAGCCCAGAATTTGCACAAATAGTTGGCGATTATTGAAGTAAGAACGAAGCAGCAGAATAAGTATTGGATGTAGTTTGATGCGATCCAGTTTGAAGAGGAGTGCATCATGCCAGACAGTGTCGAAGGCCTTGGCAAGGTCAAGCAAGACCATCCCCACAGCGCGACGAATGTTTAGCTCTTTGGAAATGAATTGGGAGATTCGAGGTACTTGTTGCAGTGTCGAGTGCTGTTGACGGAATCCAAATTGTTGGTTTATGATAATTTTGTTCGATGAGAGGTGTGAGGATATGGCAGAGAAGATAACTTTTTCGAAGAGTTTGCCGGGAATTGGTAAAAGGCTGATGGGCCTGTAACTGGCGGGGATGTTTTTTGGTTTCCCGGGTTTGAGAATGGGAACGACCTTTGCAATTTTCCAGGCCTCTGGGAAGTAGGCTAGTTTAATGGAGTTACGGAACAGATAATAAAGTTGAACGGTGATTTTGAATGAGGCGTTTTTTAACATAGGAACTGAGATTCTGTCTGGACCAGGAGATTTACGATTTTTCAATTGGCGAATGTAGTCAAAGATACGGCGAGGAGAAAGATCCAGATCAGCTACAGGCATGTTGTCCTCGAGAATTGAATTAGAGTTGTTGTATAGGTTGGAAATAAAATCCTCAACTGGCAGAGAGTGCGGTGAGCTTAGAGATGATGCACTGTTGTGAACGTTGGCGAAGTGGCTAGCAAGGACCTCGGCTTTTTCGTAGTCAGAACAAGCGGTGCCAGAGTTGTGAGCAAGTGGTGGAAGTCTTCTTGAGCCGCCTGTAGACGATATTGCACGGTATGTGCTCCAAAAGGTTGGATCAGGTTTTTCGAATGAAGCTAGTTTATTAATCCAGTTGGTGTTACGGAGAACGGAGATACGTTTCCTAACAGCTGCGGATAGATCATGAATTCTATCATGAAGCGAGTAGCTGCCAATCCTTTGGGCCAATCTCCTCAAACGCCTCCTGGCTGCTATGAGTGACTGAAGTTCAGAGTCATTTGTCAAGTAGTTATGTTTGGTGGTGGAATTATCAACACAAGTGGTGGCCCGACGATGGCACGCGTGAAGAAATGAGGTCAAGGTTTTAATAGAATTGTCAATGTCGTCAGTGGAACAATGTTTGGATTGAATTTTGAAATTCGAGGTTAGCTGATTATAGAGTTCCCAGTTCGTAGCTCTGTCGAGACCAACAGGCCGTGTTGAACCAGACACAGAAAGGACGACCGGAGCATGGTCGGAACTCAGCTGATCCAGGGTTGTACAAGAGAAGTTCTGAGTGCAATTGGAGATGAAAAAGTCAATAACCGAAGGTCTACAGTGAGTGGAAATCCTGGTGAACGCGTCGGGATGGATGATTCTGTAGTCAGAGCTGATCATGTGGTCAAAAACTGTTTTACCATTAGCATTATTGGCATAGTTATTCCAGAAAGACTGTTTGGCATTTCAATCGCCACCAATCAAAAATGGGGATCCCATCTGAACCAGTTGTTCGAGGTCGGCACGAGAGATGATGTTAGTAGGGGCAGAGTATACCACCCCTAAAAAGAGTTTGGGATTGGTAAGTTTAATAAAACACGATATGAGACTAGAAGAAGTCGAGGGATAATTAATGGCAGAAAATTCCAGAGTATTATGAATGATTATGGCAACTCCACCATGGGGTCGGCCAGAAGCAAGAGGAGAATCCTATTACAGAATACCCAGGAATTGAAAAATCTAAGTCAGGCTTTAACCAAGTTTCTATGATCAGGACAATTTCGGCCTGGGTCGAGGCAATCATGTGTATTAGTTCGTTGCGTCGCTTTTGCAACGACCGTGCATTCCATAGAATAATTTTGGGTAACATTGCTAACCAAGGTTCTGAAATACTGACCAGATAGCCTGGAACCTCTCAAACTGAGTATTACAGCCGCGGAGCGCCTGTATTAATGTTTTGACAATGTTAAGGATTGAGTTGATGTCAACCAACGAGTTCAGCTCACCCATCGCCTCTTTGAGTTCCAAGATGGATCCAATATTTGTTCCATTTGGATCATCGATGACGGAACGATGCAAGGTTGGCCTAGGATTTTGGCCAGATACAACCGCAGCATAAGAGGTCCGGTTGACTAAATGATGAGGAAGGGGAAAGTTATTCGAAGGTAAAATAGGAGATTGATTAGAGTGGATAGGTATTGACTGGTTATAGATTGGAGGACCACGAGGCGGAGGTGATTTGACCTCTCGCGCTTGAAGATACTTGCTCAGGGCCGAGCATTTAGAATAGTTAGCCGTATGAGCGCCGCTGCAGTTGACGCATTTTGGAGGTTCGTTCAAGGTTTTCTCACAGGTGTAGGAATGAAGTTTTCCTGCACATTTGACGCAGGCCGCAGGAAAATTACAATTTGTGGCGGAGTGCCCAAAAGCCTGGCATCTGAAACATTGGGTAAATTTCTTGTTGGAGAGAAATCTGTCCCAATAAATTCGAACATTGAAGACGTAGCCTATTTTAGAGACTTCGGACACCGTGGTGCCGGGAGGGAAATTAACTCGAAATATAGAAAAATTGCGAGGCAAGGATGAGTCCGTACGGCGTATCGGAACGCAACTGATTGGTTTTAAGCCGTTGGCCTTCAATTCTTGAAGTATGTCCTCAGTCGGAGTATCGGGAAGCCCTTTGAGCACCATGCTGAGAGCTTTTTCATCGTTCATCGTGAAAGTAAAGAATGGAACGTTGCCCTCGCGAAGCAAGGCTTGAAATTGTTTGAAAGGGGTGACAGAGTCAAATTGTAGACGAATTTTGTTGCCAAGGTATTTGATCTTAAAGCAATTACCATAAGAATCAATGAGCTGCTGATTAAATTTGGCAATGCTATATGAGAAGCCGGAAACATGAAGAGGTGGTGGTTTAATTGAGATTTTCTTGCGTGGATTGTTGTCGATGTGAGTAACACGTGGCAGCGCGCGTGCCGTTTGAGGCTGAGCACCCGTGCCGGCTGAAGATGATTTTGAAGCCTTGGCAGAAATTGTAGAATCCTCTCGTGAGAACGCAGAAAGAATCGCGAAGCGATTGGAAACGAGAACGGTGGGGATAGAGTCAACTTCCATGGCCCCCTCGCCATCACAATGAATGTTAGAAGCGACACTAGCCGAAGAAATGTTTTCAGAGTTTACAGTAGCTTTGTTGTCAACCGGCTTATTTGAAACAAGCTTGTCCTTCGCAGGAGAGAGAGCACTCGGGCTAAGTCGTTTACGTGACTTCTTACCTCTGTTTACCTTCACGGGCGCGCTAGCGCGAACGGAAGAATTCGAGTCTACCGACGAGGCAGTGCGATAAGGAGAAGCCGGGCGAAGATCGAGCTCGCTGATTGGTGCGGAGATACTACCCTCGCGTGGCATGATGTACTGCGAAGAAGCGACTCTACCGGGGGGGTTTGCTCGTAGGTTAATCCCTTTGTTAACCTCAAAATCAAGCCCGGAAGAAGGCTCATGGACAGCTACAGCTTTTGGATCGTCTGGATCGCGTGAAGAATTCGCCTCAGCGAAAAGCCTGAGATTATCTTCCGTCAGCCTATAGGGCCGCTGAGACACTGGACCGCTTTGAAAGAGGAGAACCCTCTTCGCACCGGATTTAGTTCTTCTAGTGGGCCTTCCAGCCAGCACTAGGGACACTTAATTAACTAATGCACTGAACAATGTTTATGCACTATGTAACAAATAGAAAGTAAGTAAATGGGGCGAATCGAAACGCCAAACAGAACACCACACAAACTGCGCAGCACTAGCAAAAAAACAAACGAAACTCGGGAGCTCGAAGGAACACACGTGCTTTCGACGACAGTCCGCGAGCGAATCCGACATAAATAAATGTATATAGTAGGATGATGCTTATTTTACCCTCGGGCAGCGGACCATGAAGAGAGTTTCAATTTTAATTTAACTCTGTATCTCATATTATTTTCATTTTCTAAATTTTACACTGTTGCTTTAATAATTATTCTTCTAATATACAAAACTCGTTTGCTTAAAAATTATACATTTAACTTTAGATTAATATCCTTCTATATGTTTTGTAACTTTAGGTTACGATTGATCCAGGCTCCGCTGTGCAAAGGTTAATAAATAAAAAAAAGATTATTTTTACATCTTTGCACCGGTCACCCTATCAATGTCTTCACCCTTATGAGTAATATGGTACCTTTCTTTTTAGAGCTAAATATTAGGGGTTGTAAACCATTGCATCTTGTATTCTTTAAGAAAAATAATACAATTTCTTTTCCAACATATTAGAATATTATTAAAAGTAAATTTGTGAATCAGCAATTTATATTTACAAAAATCTATTTCAGAAGTAATATCATTAGGATAATAAGATTTTTGTCGGAATTGCTTGAAATGCTTGACTAATAGTAACAAATATTATTTTCGTTCTCCGTTTGTGTATTCCTTTGACTCAAAACATGAATAAACTAATAAATTAACAATTTAAAACATTAATAGGCGCGCAGTAACTTCAGAAACATTGTGAAATCTAATAAAATTTTAATCAGGCCTGTCTTTAAGCAGAACAAAATGTTAAAATACCTAAGGAATATTATAAAAGTTGAATTTTAAACAACACCCTGATATATACTATAATATTTTACGAACTACGAGCCTGTATAAAGTTTTGTAGCGAATACAATATTCTTTTAATACAAGCCCAGTAAAATACTAAAGAAATTCACAATAATTATAACAAAGACTGTCAGAAAAATGTCAAAATCTTGTTTTCCAATTTCATGCCTTTCAAATTTTCTATTATAAATTAAATTTGCAAAATAAATATACTTTGAACATTTTATGAATGGTTGAATGGATGAATGGAAAATTTTATTTATAAACTAAACCCTGTATTGTAGCTGCCAGAAAAAAAATTAATTAAAATCAATAAGGAGCTTTTCTGAACTTACTTCTCTTTGTAGAAGTTCCATGACAGAATTAAGTTCGTTTGCAGGTACAGTGACAGCCAATATGAAACCTTTCTCACTTTCGACAGATTTCAGTTTCCCAATTATGTTTGCCAAAGTTGCTCGACGAATATAAGGATTATAAGAGGAAATCGATTCATCTGGGGTAGCTATGTTGCCTCCGAGAGATTCCAGCAGGGAACGGAATAATGCAAGTCTTATTTTGGAGAACATGTCGAACACGTCCCACATAGTTTCGTCTCTACCTGTGATGATGAAAGAAACTTTGTTGTTAGTTGTTGTTAAAACGAACTGACTTATGGTACAATCGCTAGGAAAAATGGCAATACAGGGAAAGTAGGAATTCTCAGAATCTTAATTTTAACAATATTAATATGAAAAGTAACTTAGGAAGAAAATAATATAATTTTTAATTATTAAATATTATAAAATTTACTATACAGCTGAGAAATATAAATAATCAATAAATAATAATTCAAATTTTCCGGTAGAAGTGTTTACGCGCAAATGAGAGGGACAGACTTTTATACTTTCTTTAGATATGAAGGTATTATGTATTGGGCCCCAGATAAGGAAGGTTGTACACGGAGGAAATTTTAAGGAGAGAAGAAAGCTTTAATTTATTGAAATAAAATACTACAGAAATCATATTAATAAAATGTGATGCTATTTCTTATGTCTGCAGCCAATTAATTATACGAATACTAATATTTGTTGCAAGGGTAAGAGAAACTAGAGAAAATACACGGGCCACTTTTATACGTGCAATGTGTATACAGTCTATAGTATCACATTATGTCTGTAGCTGTAATGTCATTTAAGTATATGCGCACCCAGCCTCCTAGTGGAAAAAAATCCACAAAAGCGCATCACTGTCAGGGATGCCATGGAGAAAGGCGAAAATTTGGGACATCGCCATTTTTCCCGGGGAAACCTGATTTGATCGCTTGTCTAAGTACTTATTGTCAGTACATAATGGGTTGTTTGAAAGTATTTTGTAGCGAAATTTAATTTTTGCTTCAATTTAATTTAATTTAATTTAAAACTCCATTACTTTAAAGTAAAACTTTAGTTTAATCAAATAACGTACTATGTGACATGTAGAAAAGAAAATTGAATATTTCTATCAGGTTTTCTTTATTATTTTCATATTGTAAATTGTAAATTTAAATAATTTCAGGTTATAATAATTACAGAAACTGATAAAATTTATAAATAGAAAATTGAAATATCATGAAAGATTAGTTCATGATAAAATGTTAATGTTAAAATAAATGATCTTAAAGGAGTCGTACATGGTAAATGGTCAAAAACATTGATTTTTAGGTTCCCGTCTCCGTGTCCGTCCGTCCGTCCGTCGTCGCATTTTATTCCTTAACAATTACATATACTAGAGATACAAATTTGGTACCGTTGGAAAGGTCTTGATGAGAAACGCTCAAAATCGTTGAGTTTGTGTTTCTAGATGGTCGAAGTCAAAAGATATTGAAACTTTACCACTTTCCGTAGAGATATGTACATGCAAAAACGAAGTCGGAACAGCTTGCACGCCAGATGTACGCATAAACTCCGTGGGTTCCTACATAGCTGGCTTTGACACGTAGTTCTAAAAATTAATAATCAACAAAGAAGTGCAAGCTGATCCGACCTTGTTTTTTTCACATATTTCGATAAGCACATATTCCAAACACATGCTTATATGCATAGCTTCAGGGCGGAATTCGAAAAATTAACGGAGATACAGTGAATGAATTTCTTATTTCTAGGTAATCTGATATAATCAAAAAATGCGTTTTTCTTGAAATGACATCTTTCGACTGCGTTGACAGAAAATAAAAAAATCTAACAATCCAATCGATGTCATCAAGGTTATATTTTGTAAAAAAAAACTTTTTCTATTACAGTACGTAGCCGTTTTTTTATTGAACTTTATTTAACTTTTTTCACACGAAAAACTAGCAAAATTTCAACGTATTTGTTCATATGTCCTCTATTTTCTTATCTTCAAAAATTTTTTAATTTTCCTATGTGCTGTTATAGTTAATCATATGTAATTTATAAATGTTTTTGGTTTCTTTTGTGTCAGATAAAGTGTAAGGCCAATTTGTTGTCAACACCACGAAAACGTTACTATAGAAGCAACCCTTTCAAAATTGTGTACACCAGCCACGATATTACCAAAACTATTAAAATCATTTTTTATATCTTCTCTAATACTGATAATTTATGTATCATAGAACAGAAAATTTTTATATTATATTACTTGCTTTAAAAAAATTCTGAAAAATATCTTTATTTTCCAACCATTTACCATGTACGACCCCCTTAATGAAGAAAATATTTTATAAGAAAAAACAGAAACTTAATTAAGAAAATTAATGAAATTTAATTTATTAAGCAAATATATAATAAGTGCAGATAAATGTAGTGCAGATATTAAATTAATTAAATAAAAATAATTTAAATTTAAAAATGATTTGATTCGGTGGAAAAAGATGATTTATTCATGAATGAATTGTAATTGACAAATTGACGAGATATCCTTATGTGCATCTTTGTTCTATGTAGAAATGCAAGCAACAGCAACAACAATAACCCTTATGGCTCTTCTGGTAGACATCTGCTTTAATATTTAGATATACAGAGAAAAGCTTACCGTCTTCTCGGTTATTAGAAGATGGAATCAACGGAGAAGCACGGTGAATTGGTTTCCCCAGGTCTACCGCATTCCAGTCACCGTGAACTTCGGGCTTAATTTTGCGAATTTCTAGTTTCATGCTGTTCTCGTCGGGCTCGTCTGATTCTCTTTGTATAGTTACTGACTCTTCGTACTCAAACAGTGTAGGAATCGTGAAATTCGCATTGGATAATGAGGCTAAACAGAAACTTTCGAGTTAAGAATAATAATTCTTAAAACTGCAAATATGTATCAAAAAGTTAAGATAAAGGAAGAAAGATCAAAGTTAATAAAATAATAAACTGGAAATTAAAATAAAATCACAACAGCTTAAATATTGTTGATATTAATAACGCACATAAAAGTATTGCATATTTAAACACACGAAGTGTAAAATCCAGGTCGTCAAAATATTATATTAAGAAAAGGAACCCAAAAATAATTTTTTTTTTATACACAAAAATTATGATCGATTAACTGACAATTAGTAAACGCTGATATAAAGAAGTAAAAATGTTAAATAAAGAGCGATGTTATGTATTTTTGTTTGAAGACATATACATATATGTAAGTACCTATATCATATCAACGAAAGATAATATTCTATTTAATTAATTCATCTTTATGTGAAAAAAAAACATTGTAAAAATTCATGAAAATTTTTGCAAAAAAATAGCTGCAGAAAGCAGTTGTTGGTACTTAAACTTTTTCTAAATATTCTAACTAAACTCAATAACTTTATGACAATATTACAATAAAATTACACATTTCTGACCCATTTCGTGCCTGAGTTAATACGAATATGTGCATCATGGTAATATAAAGTGAAACGCTGTCCGAATTAGTTTGGAAATCTACGTTAAAAGATTAACACGTCCGTTCTCGTGCCGATTTCTGGTGACCGACACACAGTGGGACAAAACTGCTTTTGGCGATCAAAATTCTGTAACTTCGGTTCTATTGGAAATATTTTAATGAAATTTTGGGAAGTTTTTGCCTACATTATAATACTTAAGTTGTATTAATATAAATCATATCGAACTACAGGGTGTCAAGATATTCACATATAAACTGTAACGCGTTCAATATCCTTCACTTGTTAGACATAGTTTATGTTATTTAACAAAAATTTAACTTAAAACTGTTAATAACTATAATGAAAACGGATATAATAATTAAAAAATGACAAGACATGTGTTATTATAATATATTTATTTATATTTATTATGATCTATACCAAATCATTTGTGAAAATAGTTTCGACAATTATGAAAATTTATTATGGCATATTGCAAGGCCGAAATAAAGTTTTAGATGACGAATATACACGTTGAATGCAGTTAACTAGTTAATAATCGTATCTGGTACTGCTTTTCCATCATCGTGCGCTGCGGCCAAGATGGGTGTAATTTATTTCAATCGCCATTTTTTTTAGCAGTGGCAGGTTGGGGCAACCGTTTTTTTCTGATTCTGATAGAGGAAGGTTCACTCTTTACTACAGTAATAATCACACCCTGCACAAATGTGCAAATTTTTTTTAAATCAAACGCAAAGTTGAGATTTTAGTTAAATGTATTTCGTTTCAATCAGATCCTATTATTTAAAAAGTTGTTAACATTTTAACTTATTTTATGCACTGAATAGAATCTATACTAATCTAGTAAACTTTGTAATTCATTTGAATTTTATCTTTCCGAGTAAAAGTTATTAGAATCGTACATTGAAGTTACGGATAATATCATCAGCGTTTCGTTTTGACAAATTTCTACTGACTTTGAGTGCGAACCACGGCAAAACGAAAGCAAATATGAAAAAACGGATTACACCACGTTAAACTACAATTTATTCTCTATCGATGTATGTAAATAGTTTTTCAATTTTCGAATACACGAAAATCGACTTTTGATCGCTGAAAGCCGTTTTGTCCCACTGTGCGACATAACTAATTTAATATAATAATTTAACATACCTAAAATAAGACGTAATTGAAGAAAATTTTATATGATATTAATATTATACTATTTATACAAAGTAGAAGTTGAAGGATTCATTATGTATCAGATTTGAATTCAACTTTAATCTGAAATTTAGTTAATTAAAATTTCTACAAGATATTTATATATTGTGAGATCGGAAAAAATATACGAATTACTCTCATTGGATATAACACAGTTTAATAGCAATTGAATTATTCATAAAAAGAACAGAATTATAATATAGCTTATAACGGTATTCGACGAACGGAAAAATAGCTACGCTATTTCTTTTTGCAGATGGTTGCCTTTTTATACCCCACCGTCAAGTCGCGCTGCTGATACATCACATATATTATTTTTTTAAAAATTCAGTATATATGTAAAGTTAAAAACCTTGAGCTTTCTAAGTACCTAATGGTCAAAACCTAACGATTACGACAGACTTTGAGACAACCAAGAATGGCGAGATTTTTCGTTAGACGTACTTTGTTGAGGAAGTAAATTGAAATAATCAAAAATGAAATCCACTACATTAAACCAGTATAAGAGTTCAAACTAGTTTAAGTGCCTGTAGGCATCTACGGTATCATAAGAGCAATTTTTTAAGCACATAACCTACATTATCACGAACCCAAACTAAGCGCCTTTAGACGCCAGCAGTAGTCGAAGGGTTAAATCCCCAAATGGGGTTTATGATAAAAAATGAGTAAATTTGAAAAACAAAACGATCATATTGTACTTGTGAGTAATTAAAGGGTTCCAGTGATAAGGAGGTAACTTTACTTTACATACATATTTCTCATTGTACATTATACATAGTGTCTCACGGAACTGAACCAAGTTATATCTCTAAAATAGTTAAAGATAAAAAAAATCATTAAAAAAAAATTAAATGATGTCGAATAAAACATTGCGTGATGTATGTGAATTAGTCCATTTGCATGGGACACCTTGTATTCTACCTTGTAAAGGAAAATGTGACCTTTTACTCTATACAATAAGGGAGAGCGATTTTTAAAGTACGGTTGCGGAATGACATTTAAAAAATTAGGCACAGTATGATATTGTAGTTAAATACAACCTGTCGTCATTCCTTTAGTATCTCGAGCCCAGAGCAACAATGCTACAATATTTGACCCTAAGAAGCGTTCACAGTCGCATTTCTTATCCTTATTTCCGGAAATTAATGCACTTTCCAGGGAAAATCTTGCCGTGTTTATATCAGTGCTGTCGCAATTCTAAAGGAGACGTTATTTAATTTTTTTTTTAAAGAAATTGTATATTAAAATTTTCATTGTTTCAATTAAATTTTAACAACTGGTCATTAACAATTAAAATTTATCATTAGCAACTGATGACTATTTTTAACGGTTTATTTAATCAGTCACAATTTTTGGCAACTAATTTCTTGTAATTGTAAGCGTTAATTAAAACTTTTGATCAATTTATGCCCAACATAGGTATGCAGCATATATTTATAGTATGCTTATTACTCGATAGGTTTTATAAATAATTTATCAACTAGAAATCTTAAAAATCTGAAATTACCAAGTTGTATAAATTTTTTAATTTGCTTTTCAAATTAAATATAAGTACAAATTCTAATAAACACACTAATAAAAAAATTAATTTTAAAACATAGCAAATAGAGTGTCCTGTTAATTAAACATTATTTAACAAATGATCAGTACTCTTCAGTATAAAAAGGGCACACACATAAAAGATTAAATACATATTCACAAAAATACAAATATTTTTCTTCAGTATCGATTAATTTATTGAACATTTAAAATGTACGCGAATATGCTAAAATAACATTAAGAATAAATTTAAAAAATTAATTTACAGTTAATATAAAATCATACCTGAAGAAGTCCATCAATTGAAAACGAGTGCGAGGACCTGAAATTCTTCCAAAAATCATCTGAACCCTGACCAGTTTCAGCAAGAACCAACACGACGTTTCGTGGAGCGGAAGTGCCGCTGTCAGTCATTGGATTATCTTTCACAGAGTTCGCTCTAGTATCCTTCACGATCTTTGCAAAATTTGTCTCGTTTTCCACGTTTTCCAAGATAAAACCAAATTTCTTTTTGCGAATAACATCAGGACTCGTTTGTTCAATAGTTTCCGTCGACGTCTTCGTGCCTGATTGTGAGATTTGTAACACCTTGTCGATACCAGTCCCTTCCGTTTTCATACCGGAAGTGTGGATAACCTTGTCTTCTGTTTCCGGGGTCGATGCAGCGTTCCATGCTACTGGATTATCTGCTGAGACATTTAAATAATATAGGATTTTATTGAAATGGATATAGATTATAAGAGTTACTTAAAACTACGTAAGTGTTATTCGTCGTGGTTTAGCGTCTAGCCCGTTCGTCGACGTTTCATTAACTAATTTTTGTTTCCTCCATGTCCGAACGTGTCGCGACTCCCTTACCATTTATCGTTAGTAGCGGATTCCAGAATATTCCCAAACGTCGTCGAACGAACCAGAATCTTATTTCCTACAATAATGAAGTTATATATTTTGATTATGATATCATTCATTGAATTTTTGTTATGTAGATTATTGCTCTCATAGTTCAATGCTTCTAGCTGAGAATAATTTCACAAATGTGCTGTTGCATTAAACTTTTTTAACATAGAATCTCTTAACCAGAAACTTTTTGAACGAAGAATTAAATGCAAATATAATAGAAGAAAATTTAATTTAAAATATTTTATCAATGACTAACACGACAAATTAACTGAGAGAAAAAAAAATTAAGGGAACTTTTAAATTAAAATTAAAATTTGAAATTACTTTTGAATTTTTTAAAATATTCGGCACCAAAGCACTTGATTGATATTTGACATTTTAAATTTTCTCAATTTCTTCACTTTTTTTCTAAATTAATCGATTTGGCAAATGGGTGGCTCATATACAGGAAATCCTCATTATATTGCCGCTGAGAGAACAGTCGGAGTGGAAAATTTGTCAAGCTTCCAAGTTCTCATTTAGAAGATGAAGGCGAGATAAAAGTGTATCATTTTCATAGACTATGATAACGGGAGAATGACAATAATATGCTTTAAAATTTATGCGAACGTTAAATCGCGAATATGACAATATAACGAGGGTCTACTGTACTGTCCATTAAACGCTATTACGTTTTTATACATATAATAGATGTTTGAGAAAGTCCGAAAATAAATATTTGTTAAATAATCGCTGTCCGAATTAGAAGAGAAGAAAGAATGATTTTATTAGAACGCTAAAGGTATACTATTTATGATATAATACCTGAACGTTCAGCAATAAATCCGAAGCAAGAAAGTACTATCGCCAATCCAGTAACTAGAAACACTAAACTCCTTTCGTACACCATTCTGGCTATTAAAATGAGGATTAAATGCATTAAAATTTTCACAGTACTTAAACACTAACATTAAAGGAATTGAAACGTGTCTTGATTTATCTTACTGAACAAAATTGCACCGAGAGATACTTGAAAATCAAACGAAACAATTTACGTGATAATTAACAGTATTTCATTGAGGATGATACCAAAATTGCAGAATGAATTGCTGGTTTAAAATCCACCACGAGCGATGAAATACGTTCTATTAACTTTCGTTGACAGAAAGCAATTACCAGATGGCTTCACGATCAACAAATCACAGTTGTCTGGTGAACAAAATACAAAACACACATGATTTTTGACGGGGTTCTTGTTTCTTAACACTAGTGCAACTAGATAGAGGCAAGGGTGGGGCTGGCCCTGCTAAAAAGAACGATGTCCAAAAGTGGCCAAAAGTGGCCAAAATTTGCCCATCATATAAATGTATGAAATTAGTCTATCTTTATGTTTTTGGACCTACTAATTGCGAATATGACACTTAAAATTCGCTAAAGTTTGGGGAACGCTGTAAAAATGCATTTTTTTGCATAAATATCTGTAGTATCGTAGGTTTAGAGAGCGTTAGTTTTAAGGACAGGAAAAGGGTCATAAAAGTGAAAGCGTTGACGGACAAAAGACAGACCCAACGACTAGGCGATCGGCCGATGCGTCGGGGGTGTTTTTCTAGGAGCTTGGTGGGAGGGAAAGGGCCAGCGAGGGTTTTCTTCCTGGCGAAAAGCGTCAGATTCGAATGAGAGTCGAGAAGTGTCGTTGAGAGTCGAGAGAGAAGATAGTTGCATTGAACCTAATACTATCATCTGTATCCTTAGTTCTAATAAATCATATTTTTAATATCAAACACTACATATCTTTTTATCTAACGGAAGCGTTACAACATTTTCGACACTTTTTCACTCTTTTTTAAAAGAGCGATAAGTCATTTTGATAGGTTTCTTCCGTAGATTATGAATTTGAAAACAAAAGTGTTCCATTACATCACGATTTTGATGTAAGTTTAAAAGAAAGTTTCAAAAGTAAAAAGTGTTTTTAATCGTTTATGAAGTGATGTCAATTATCTCACGAATCGATGATTTTATTGAAAAATTCGAACAGAAGTTGCATGGATTAAAGAAAAACACATGATGGAAATGTGGATTTGACCTTGAGTGACCTTATCAAAATCAGGTCGAGGTCATTAATGGTTTTTTAAATGCAAACCTCTATTTTATTACATATTCTTGCACCGTATCTCGAGAACTTTCTAAAACACTATAATAAAGTTACGTTTTATTGAGTACTTTTCGAGTTATGAAGCTTGATAAAATAATTTTAAACAAAAAACAAATCCGACTTCGAAATGCACTAAAAAGTGCAAAATAATTTCTATTTCATTTATACCAATATTCCATAGCTATTAATAATATCTACTTAATCGTTAAATAGGACGCCAAATACATTTCAAAGTTTTCGGAGGCAGCGCAAAATTGAAAATACCTGAACAAACGATGCTGCCAATAACGATTTGATTGCGGTATGACGAACTTGGTAATTGATAAGTCGTAAGAGAAAAAGCGGAACGTTATAGGTCCGACTGAAAACATTTGTAATTGTAACGATTGTATCAGAAATTGGCACCACTCCTAATGTACATGCACTATACTGCAGTTCACGAGAGACCATACTTAATTCGCGCAGCTCACTAGGTCTAGAGAGATTTTTAATAACGTGTGTTATTCCCCTCTACAGCTTGCTTCTTATTATTCTTTGCGATCATATAAATGGTGGGCAGAAATATATGACGTACGATAACTGATAACCGGTGTTGATATTGTAAAGTTTCGCGATACAATGAAATTCCTATTATTTTTCGAAAAAAAAATGATGTGACCGCAAAGTAAGAAGCAAGCTATAAAGGGGAATCACACACACTATGAAAAATCTCCCTAGACCTGGTAAACTGCGCGAGTTAAGTGCGGTCACTCGTGAACTGCGGTATAGTTAATTCACAATGGGTATGTTGATTCCCGTTGAATATTGCTTACTTGAAATTATCAGATGGGTCATTTATCATAGATTGCCGACGCCCGAGTTAGGATCTTCTTAGTAGAGGAAAGGTTTTTAATTTTATGCCGCCTCCGAAAACTTTAAAATGTATTTGGTATCCTATTTAACGATTAAGTAGATATTATTAATAGCTATGGAATATTGGTATAAATGAAATAGAAATTATTTTACACTTTTTAGTGGAACCAGTAGTATTTGTAAGATAGTGTAAGGTGATTTTGGGTTTCTGTTGCTTAGCTAATAACCATAAACCCTCCAAAAATTGACCGAATTTAAATTGTTAATAAACAACAAATTTCATAAATTTTTGCGAGTGGGATCATCGCGGATATACAGGTTGTAAACAACTTTTTCCTTTGCCAAAATGTTGGTTCGTTTTCGAGTTTGTAACCGTATATGTTACATATAAATATATATATATATATATTCGGCTCATTAGGGGGCATACCCCTTAAACGACAACGATTCCCACTCGCTCTTGATGCGTGCGCATCGATCCCCAGGCGGTATCGATCCTTACCTAGGATCGATGGAAGGAGGTCGATGCGGATCGATGATCCAGCACTCTACGTTCGAAAGCGCTAGCGTTAAGACGCGAAATACAAGGGTCCGTTGGGCGAGAAACGGTACGCGAAGGCGAGTCAAACCGACTTGGTAAAATCGTCAAACTGCCGATTTACTGTCTTCGTGTATGCGCCTCAAACCGAGGAGTCGCGTGCACAAGCTGAGCCGCGGCACTGCTACAAGGGATACCCGTTCGCAATAACCAAGGTTTCGTCGTAGTAGTCAGTTTAATGAATTTATAACATCCAAATTCTGTTACACTAAATCGGTTCACATCAACACCAGTGAAATACAAATTCCGTGAAGCAGTGCCGCGACTCAGTTTGTGACTCCTGGGTTTGTGGCACATAGGATTCGTGCATCGCGTTTTTTATATATTCAAGACAATTATTTCAAATATTCATGTAACAAATAGTATCAACATCAAGGTCACTGTTTGTTAGATACAGAGAAATCGTCGAGGTCACGTAATCGTGCCCTGCCGAAACCTCTTAGTTGTTCTAAACAAGAGTGCCAAGATAGACAAATAACATAGTCTCGCCCAACGTAACAAATTACACCATTAGTTGCGTTAAATCGATAATTTCGGTTCTTGTCAGTCGAATCTCAAAGACATCTAATAGCAACCGCCGACGGTGCATGCCTACCCATTACTGGTGGCAAGTGTGCAATTGTCGTTCCGGCAAATATTCCATCTATTGTGGGTGAGGAAGCACGGTACTGAACGAACCACTGAATCTGGAAAAATCCAAGAGACCACGGAAGTGCCTCTGGACGTTTCCTAGACATCACGGAACGCAAAGACTTTGTGCACATCAGCGACGTGCGACTCTATCCCGCAAGGGCAAGACCTCTCGTCGTTCTGATAATCTCATATATACACCAATTGCTTAGATTCTATTCTTTCTCACAAGAACCGAGATTAGTTAAATAGGTCGTTCAGCCAAGCATTGTCCTACGAGCCAGGAGTGGCGTCCGCGTTTTTCTTTAAAGCCTTTAACATTCGCGATAAATCGTTGTTTATCTATATACAAGCCAGGAGTGGCGTTCGCGTTTTCTAAAGTTATTCAGATAAATCGTTATATATCTTTACACAAGCTAGGAGTGGCGTTCGCGGTTTCTAAATTAAAGAACATTGATTACAGTCGTAACGGCTCCCAATTGTACAATTCTTCAGAAAATACATAAGTAGATTTTACCAGATATCTATCGCTGTTTCTTGTCAGACAACCTAAAAATTCCCCGTTACCAGACAAATAAATAAAAAATTATATATTGTAAAAATACTGTTACAAGTTATTAACAAAAAATACCGACCAATCCGAGCGCGTACAGCGCCCGGGCTCAGGGACTGCAATGTAGGCTACGAAAACCGGACCTGACGTAGGTCGTGAACGAACGGCTCGGCACCCCGTTGGCATAGCACAATAAAAAAACTGAACTGGTAGAACATTTTTAGTCGTTTAAAATAAATACGGAACCTAATCTCTTGTCGCCTGTCATAATGTAAGAAAGGAAATTCTAAGCATTCTAAACAACAAATAAAAATGATTGAAATGGAATAATTAATAAACGTTTGAATTGGAGGCTACGTTAATAATGAAAAATTTGAAAACAATTTAAATGAAACTTTCGCATTCATTCCTAAATTAACCTGCTACGCTGAAAGCAGATAATTGTCACTGGTGTAGTAGGTTTTTACTAATGACGTGTTCCACCACGTCGATCGCTTGCAACTGCCTTCCGTTTTTGCAGCGTCGCGTCGCGGCGTCGAACAGTCAATCCGCCACCGATCTTCTCTTGTTCGGGTGTCTGGAATATTCTGGGGAATATTCCAGAACGCAAAATACGTATAACGTAAAATCGACTATAATTCGGCCTATCCTGACCTACGATTGACCTCAATCGTCACGCAACGCTTAAATTGTTGACATCTTACTTACTAATGTTTTTTCTTTTCTCTCATTTAACATAAATTCATAGAATAGCATAAGTATAAAGCATAACGTAAAACATTCATAATATTCATAAGGGTGTTTTTCATAATGGGTTCTTAACATAATTATTAACATAAGGTAGATAGTACATAAGAGAGATACATAAGATACATTCTTAAGGTGTCTACAATAACATTCATATTTCATAACGCATTTCTGTAACATGCTTATAATGTATTCTTAACAATAGGATGGTACTTATATCTAATATACTTATATCTAACCTATAATATAAAATATATACATGATACAAACGCTTTATATTCATTCGTCTTCATTATTTTCGACTTCCTTTAATTTTGACCATAATCTCATGTTTTCCGGTGAACAGATACCTTCGAATGGTAATTGAGTTAATTGATGTCCTTCAGGGTCTCGTATTACATAGCGGTTTTTATCTAATACCTTAACAATTTCATATGGACCTCTAAATTTTGGTAGTAATTTTTTATTTACTCCGGGCGTTACATCATTATTTTTAATAAAAACATAATCTCCTACTACGTACCTTGTCGGCGTTTTGTGTTTTTTATCGTAATAATTTTTATTATACTCATTTGCTGCTTGTATTTTTGCAACTGCATTCTCTCTGATAGAATTTAAATCACGGTCGTCTATAATTTGTTCTTCCAAAATTACACGTAAGTCGT